TCAAATTTACTATCAGTAATTCTACAGGACTCACAAATGCAGAATGTATTGATATATCAATACTTTAAAACAAAATTCAATGTAATGGAATACTATTGTTCTATAAGAAATGATGAGCAGATAGATTTCAGAAAAAGCTAGAAAGACATGAACAGATGCTAAGTGAAGTGAGCAGAACCAGGAGAACATTGTACAAAACAACAGTAACATTGTGTGATGATTAACTATGACAGACTTAGCTCTTCTCAGCTATACAATGGTCCAAGACAATCCCAAAAGAGTTGTGACAGAAAATGCTAACCACATCCAGAGAAAGAACTATGGAGTCTGAATGCAGATCAAAGCATATTTTTTTTCACTTTTTTTCACTTTGGTTCTGATTCTTCTTTTACAATATGACTAATGTGAAAATATGTTAAACATGATTGAACATGTGTAAGATTTATATCAGATTGCTTGCTGTCTTGGGGAGGGGGGAGAGGAGGGAGGGAGAAAAATTGGGAACTAAAATTTTACAAAAATGAAGATTGAAAATTATCTTTACACATTGGAAAAAAAATACTACTAAAGGGGAAAAGCAATTCAACAATACAAAAATATCAGTCAAGTAATCAATAAATGAAGTTTACAAAATTACATGAATGGAACTGATTTGTGAGAGAATGATCACCAGAAAAATAAATTGACTGTACATTTACCACTTCTTAAAAATTGCCAAATTTCTCTAGGATGTTTTAGTGTTATCTAAATTTTAAAAAATCCAGGGAAGCCTGAATCTTTAATCCTGAGTGATATTTTTGGGTTAATATATGTTTTATGGGATGTGCAACAGCATAACTCATTGCATGGTAACTGAAAGCAGGGAAAATTTATGGCCAAGGGAATTACCAGAGAGAGTAAGTCCAAGAGGGGTTCTAGGTCTGGGCAGTCAGGCAGAGAATTTAGGGTGCCTAGTGGGAGTTGTTCAAAGCAGAACGTATCTCAGACAAACTTCCCTAGGGTATTTGTTCTGCTTCCCCTCCTTCAACCACAAAATTCCCCCAACGTGGATCATTACAAAGGATACCGGATCTTCTTGGTGACTGGGTTGTATTTTGATATCATCACTGTGCAGGCCCCACAGCCTCCTGTTCCACAGCCATATTTGGTTCCTGTCAGGCAGACTAGGAAGGAAAGTAGTCAAGGAAATAGGGATGCAGGCAGCTTTTTTTCATATAAAATTTTCCCACTGATACTTAACAAGTCCAAGAACTGATCATTACGGAATGGTCAACTTTCCCATATCTCAGATCACAGACCTAAAGAGATAGAAGACACCTTAGAGATCATTCAGTCCAATTTTCCCATTATACAGCTGAGGAAACTAGGGCTTTAGAAATGAAAAGATTTACCCAAGGTCACAATCTTGTTAGTGGAAGAAGCAAGATCAAGTCAGGCCCCAAACTCTTTCTTTTTGGAGAAATCCTTAACTTTCAGTGTTTTTTTTTACATTAATGAGTTTAGAGGCAAGAAGAAACCTGTATAAAGCTGTGAGTCTGTAACACCATCACAATTGGTTGAACAGTGAAATATTTTTCCATTCAACCATTTTTTAAAAATTTGAAACCAAATAATTTGTTTTGCTTGATTTTCCACCTAATGAATTATTTAAATCAGAGATGTAAACCTTGCAGTCCTCCCCCTAACTTACCCTGAATGCCAACTCCTAAGGCACCACAAAACTCCCAAATGTGGATGAACCAGATCAAGATATAATTGGGAAATGTTTAACAAAATAAATTGCAATATACATTATTCATTTGTGGTTTTCTAAGTAAGTATGCTTCTCTCGAGAATCTGTTTCTATTTGAATTTGTCACCACTGGTTTAAACTGAGCAATTGTTTTTGTATCCTGTAGGTATATTGCCATTTCCTTCTCCAGTTCATTTTACAGATGAAAACTGAGTCAGACAAGGTTAAGTGACTTACCTTGTATCACACAGCTAGTAAGTGTCTGAGGCCAGATTTGAACTCAGGAAGATGAAACTCCCTAAATCCAAGCCTGGCACTCTATCCACTGTACCACCTAGTTGTCCATCAAACATCTTAGAACTTGACAAAACTTGCATTCTGCTGTCATCATCTGTGAGAACCCAGATTTCTCTCCAGGGCAGGAAGAGGTGTCAGGATGAGTCTTTAGAAAAAGCGTTATCTTAGACTTCACCAATAGAGGCATTAATAGTGCCAGTGCAATAAAGGTAAGAGTTTTACTGTACATAGTGTTGGTTAGATCACTAAATCTGGACAGTGCATTTATAGACAGCACAACTTAAGAGACATGGATAAATTATAGGGCATACAGGGCATTGAATAGTTTGAAAACTTTATCATATGTGGAATAGTAGAAAGAACTGGATATGTTCATCCAGGAGTAGAGAACACTAGAGTGGGAAGGGAATGTGGGAGGTGGGTGGAGGAGTTGGGAGGAAGGACTGTCATTTCTATCAAAAATTATTTGAAAAATTGTCAAAAGGAAAAAGGGTTAGACTCACTCTCTGTGCATCTAGAGGCCTGATAACAGTCTGTGAAATATATTTATAAAAAAATTTCAGGACAGGGAAAGACCTGAGACTAGATGACTTCTAACCTACTTCTAACTCATAGGTACTATGGTTCCTGACAATAAAAGTGTGGAATTGCTGGCAGGAGAGATGAGGAATGGGTTGGGGAGATGGGAAAATGAGTATGGAGTGTATGAATTGGTTTTGAAGATCACTCTATGTAGTACTTGACTTATATGTAGTATTTGACTTGAATATTTTTAAAGTCCCTTTTAATATCCTCCACAATTTTGATCGTTTTGTGAGAACTAGAATGTAATGTCAAGGGACTTCAGAATGTGCTGTTAGGGAGTTCTTTGGGAATCACTGTTTCTTGTTTTGATGTAGCACAGAGCCCAAGTACACAGTCTTAGAGTAAGTCTTATAAATACCATCTTGATCTGAGAAAATCTATGATGAAGGCTTGAGCTTTTGATATTCTAATCACTAGGTATTAAATGAGAAGAAAGAGCTGAATCTCAGAGTTCAAGATTTCTTCTCCTTCCTGGGGAATTATACCCTATACTTCTATATTACTAAAGTTATTTTCATTAGGGACATTCTTGTTTTAGATAGATTTCAGGACAATAAACATTAAGATCACTTACTTCAACGTATCACGATATCATTAATCTGGAATTACTTTGACTGGCAGACATTGCAATTCTATACTTATCCTTTAAAATTCTTCTCCTGTCTTAGTTAACCAATTAACCATTAGTCTTTTTTTATATATTTTAATATTTTGTAAGTCTCAGGGAGTATTCTTCTGTTATTTCTCAGTCTGACTATATGACTTCCACCTTCTTTACTCATCATAATGTCATTAATAAGATTATATGCCATTTCTTCCATGCAAGTGATCCAAAATAAAAAGACAACCTTTTTACCCTCACAATAAACTACCAATAGGCAATATCTGCAATAACAATAATAGTAGTAATAATAATAATAACCATAATAACAATAACACATTAAGGTTTACAAAGTGCTTTTTGTAGCAGAAACAGAGATGAATCTACAGTTAGTTTCGAATTTTATTATAAAGATCTTAAATAACAAGCTAATAATTGGAATTTTTCCTCTAGGTAATGAGAAAGCAATAAAGTTTTGAGATGTGAGTGTAATATTATAAAAGCAATGTTATACGAAGATTAGTCTATCATCAATGCAGTATGGATCAGAGGGGCAAGAGATTGGAGCAGTAAGACTAGTGGAGACTATTTCATTCATCTAGATGTGAGGTGATGGGAACTAGAGTGGGTAGTAGTGAGGATGAAGAACTAAGAATTCAAGAAAATTGAGAAAGAATAATTAACAGAATTTGGTGACTAGAAAAAAAAGAATTGCCAAATACGTAAAGAAGATTTTGCACCTAGATGGCAGGGAAGAAGGTGGTATAGCATTGACAAAAATGGGGTCTATAGTGAGTAAAAAATGGGGTCAATAGTGAATAGAAAATAGCTACACTATCCCTTCAGTGAAATATTGGTATCTGAATGGGCGGAAAGAAATGGAGGTAGTTTATTCTTCAAGAAGCTTGGTAATAAAGAAAAAGAAAAGAAAAGAAAAAGGACTTTGCTAAAAGGAGACACTATAACCAAGTGTTTTCTTTTTCCCAGTTGCAATGGAGGCATGTGCATGTTTAATGTCAAAGGCAAAGGTGACTGTGGAAAGGAAGAGTTTTAAGATGGTAGAGAGGGCATAAATGAGGAACAAAGCCATAATGAAAGTAGAAATAAACTGAAATCACATTTTTCTTCCTTAGAAATAAAGGAATAGGGGCAGCTAGGTGGCACAGTGGATAGAGCACCAGCCCTGAAGTCAGGAGGACCTGAGTTCAAATCTGGCCTCAGACCAAACACTTGACACTTACTAGCTGTGTGACCCTGGGCAAGTCACTTAACCCCAAATGACTAAGCAAAAAAAAAAAGGAAATAAAGAAATGTCTTTTCTTCTGAGATTGGTGGGCAGGTGGGGTCCTCAATTTACTGATAATGTTATACTGTAAAATTTTCACGTGTATTTAAAAACATTTTAATTTTGCCTCAATAAAGAAAAGTTTCAAAGTCAAAATTCTTGATAGAACTAAACTTCAAGCTCCCTGAGGGCAAGGATTACATCTAAACTGTGTATATCTTCCCAGCTCTTAAACACAGAGCTGGGCACAAAGAAGGTACTAAATCTTTGTTGTTGTTATCACAGCCTTACACACTATTAAATTATTGTTTAGATACAATCAGTTTCAAAATAGCACTTGTGCACTCATAGTTACTATCAAAGTCAACATAAAAATCAGTTAATTAAGAAAAACTCATCAAAACCTACTACCAGGTACTGGGTACAGCACTTGGAATACAGGAACAGAGAATTAAGCAATTTCTACTCACAAGAAGCTGACATTTAAAAAAGCATTTATCTAAAGACAATGACCATGGTTTATTTTTTTGTTTGTTTGTTTTGTTTTTATTTTGGCTAGGCAATGGGGTTAAGTGATTTCCCAGGGTCACACAGCAGTAAGTGTTATGGGTCTGAGGTCAAATTTGAACTCAGGTCCTCCTGAATCCAGGGCTGATGCTCTATCCACCGGGCCACCTAGCTGCCCAAATGACCATGTTTTCAAAACCAAAAATTGAAACATATGATCTGACAAAGGATTTCTTTTTCAAAGTCTCATTTAGTATTATACTTTCTCTTCTTGAAGTCAGAAGCATGCCAGTAAATATGGAATGTATGATTACTGTAATCACAGAGACATAATTTTTGATGTTAAGATATAGGGACTTTTCATTTCTGGTCTTACAAAAGTCTATAAATATCTCAACCACATATCTGATATGTTGGTA